GAGTGTGCAGAGTGTGTGTGCTGAGGCACGGGGTGCTCTGGGCCGTGGTGTGTGTGCAGAGGGTGTGCGGTGAGGCACGGGGTGCTCTGGGCCGTGGTGAGTGTGCAGAGGGTGTGTGGTGGGGCACGGGGTGCTCTGGGCCGTGGTGAGTGTGCAGAGGGTGTGCGGTGGGGCACGGGGTGCTCTGGGCCGTGGTGAGTGTGCGTGGACAGCGACTTGGGAGATGGAGATGGAGCTGGCTGGAGTAGGTGACAGGGTGGGCCTCGACCGAGAAGGTGACCTTTTGCAAAGACCTGGAGGGGTCAGAGTGTGCCGCGGAGGTCTCTGGGGGGAGAGTCGGGGCAGAGTGTACCCTGGGGTCCCGGCCAGCGCTGGTCGGTGTGCTGCATGGGCCTCACAGGCTGGGGCGCCCAGGGAGGGAAGGGCTGTGGCGCCTTTGGCATGTGTGTGTGGTCTGGATCTGGGTGTCGCCTGGCAGTTACCCGCAGTCCAAGGACCACACGAACGGGGCAGCTCGAGGTTCACTGCAGTTTCCCGTGTGCCAGTCCCATTGAGGGGACTCCCCTCCGTCCCCGGCTGGGAGACCGCCAGCCCTCGACCGGGGTCCACGCTGTGCTCCCTGCTCCGGGCTCCCTGCACAGCCTGCATGCTGCAGGCACCTCTCCTTCACGTGGTCCTCCGCATGCATGCAGGGCTGGTACTGCGTCGGGTTCAACCCAGACGTGCCGGCAGTTCTGCTGCCCTCGGGAGGAAAGGCGGCCTGGCTGGGGGCCATTTGTGGGGCCACAGAAAGTGTCTGGCTGCCACGAAGGCCCAGGGAGCCACCGTTTCCGTTACAGACCGGCCGGGAGCGAGGCGGCTCCCACGGCAGCGTAGCCCAGGGCGTTTTCAGCTGACGGGCCCACCCCTTGAGCGGGCTGCTGTTGGAGACCAGAAACCAGTGCAGAAATTGTGGAGGACTTGCGTGCGCCCCCGCCCGCCCTTGGCTGGATGGTGCATGTTTTTAGACACCGCAGTCAGACCTTAAAATGTGCAGAGAGAGGCAGGGTCCACAGGAGTGCTCCGACGTGGCCCTTGCTGTCTGGGATGGCCCTGGCTGCGGTCACCGAGTTTGCAGCATCACACGCTGGTGCGGGAGTCGAGTGCGGGCTGGCTGCAGGCAGTCGGGGGCTGCTGGCTCGGGGCGCCCTGCTGGCGTTCGGGAGTGGCCAGGGTGGGCTTCGACTTGGCCGTCCCTCCCAGACACCCCGGGCTGGCTGACCTGTGCCAGCTCCCTCCCCAGGATGCCCACCACCCCTCACCCCACACTGCCACCGTCGGGCCCTGGCAGGGTCGCATGGATCCACCCTGGCCAACCAAGCTCTGTGGGGCCCAGGGGTGGGTGCATTTTTTATATGTTTCCAAGCGGAGGAGATTCTGCATAAATTTGTCTCTGTAAAGAGTGTAGACCTGCACTTAGTTCAGCTAAGTGAGAGTAGGACTTTGCTGAGGGACACCCTTAGGCAACATCATGTGGGAGCCACACTGGGCCCACTGGTGCATCCGAGCTGGCAGTTCCACCCCCAGCCGACTCTCGTGACGGCCCGGCCTGGCCTGGAGCGCACGTGGGCTCTTCCAACCTGGCCACCTCTCCGCTCCCTTGGGTGGGCTGCGGCAGCCAGGGGTTGGGTGTCTGGGCTTGCTGGCAGTCCTCTTGGTGCGGAGAGCCCAGCCCAGCACACAGCCGGTCCTGAGCGGTGCACAGCCTGTGTGGGTGTGACTCCTGGTTCATGCGACTGTGGGAGTGGAAATTGTGGCAGTTCCTGGGCCAGGCAATTCTCAAACGCCCGCAGACGCTGCTTACTCCTGCATCTGTCCTGGAGGAGCTCTGGGCGAGGGAGGGCTCGGCGACAGGGCTGCTGCAGTGTTCCGGGAACATGCTTGGTGCAGTAAACAGGAGCTGCTGAAGCCACGCGTGACGTCCCTCTGCCGATTGGCCCTCGTGTGCCATGGCGTGTCCCTGCTGCTCTCGGGTTTCGTGTCGTCTGTAAAGTGGGGTGGGACCAACTGCATGGGACTGGGGGGGGCCTCGATGAACTGGTGCATGTGGAGCAGCGCCTGTGCTGCGTGTGGGCGGCTCGTTCTAGACCGCTGCTCCTGCCGGCCTGCTTTGCAGATTCGGTGCAGGGGCTGAGGCCGGAGCCTGTGGCCGAGAGTGCCGAGTGTGGGTCTGCCCCGCCTCCCGGGCAGGCGATGCCAACAGAACCGGGGTGTGGGCCTTGTTCCCCCCAGATCGATGCAGGTGTGTCCAGATACTAAGATTTAGTGGGTCGTATGGTGGGTTCTTTTAACCGTTTGCTGAAAGTATTTCAAAATAAAAGTATTTTTAAGCACGGCTCCAGCATGCTGGTTTGTAGAAGCCCTTGCTCCGGCAGTTTCCTGATTCAGGCCTCCAGCCTTGGGGCCACACAGGGCCATTAGCGCAGGAGTCGCTGAGCGCCTGGTGCCCCGAGACGTGCACCGGGGACGTGTGGAAACACGCTGCCCACGCTGACACGCGGTCGTCGAGACCTCTGGCCACGGGGAGTCACCGGCTGCCTTCCCTTCGTTCTTCCTTGCCAAGAAATAGTGAGAAGCCGGAAGCCCTAGGCCCGTGGGTTCGCCGGTGAGATGGGCCTGGGGACGGAGGTGCAGGGCGTCCCCGTGTTCTAGCCGACGGGTGAGGGAGGGAGAGGAGGCTGCGAGCCGCCTACACGGCATGTTCGTTACCCGCGGCCGAGCTGAGGACAGGATGGCTCAGCAGCCAGGCTGGTCAGGGCCCAGCAGCCGTGCCAGCCATCCTAAACGGTGGCCCCATGGCCTAGCGGTTAAGGCAGCTGGATCCCACATGGCCTGCCATGGCCGTTAGCCCCAGCCGTGGCGGCTCGACACGCCAGGTGCACGTACGTGCCCCAAATCCCGACAGGAGGCAGAGAGGGTGCTGCCTGGCTGTGCCCGAGGGGCGTCGTTCCTCACTGTCCTCAGCACACACCCTCGCCGTGGAGAATAAAGCAACTTGCCGCAGACCTGTCCAGAGCCGAAGCAGGTCAGGTCAGGGTGAGCCAAGCCCGGGAGAGGCGGGAGCCCTGCCCCTCCCAGCCCCTGCCCCTGCCCCGTCTACATGTTCTGTGCTAGAAGCACGCATGGTGCCATTTGTCCACATGCAGGGCCGCCCGCTGAGTTGTGGACAGGTGAGCCCAGAGACTCCAGAAGCCAACAGCGGGCGCCATGAGAAAGGGCCTGGGTGGAGGCCAGGTGAGTGGGGCGCTGCCGCGGAGAGGCAGAGACGAGACGGAGGGCCGGGCGGAATCTCGCAGGCTGGGCGGTACTTAGCACAATGCAGATGGGGTTGCTAGGAGCCCGGCTTCTACCCGTCTCCCACGCCGAAGCTCCCTCCACAGGCTTCTTCAGCCCCGAACCTTCCAACAGGTGAACGTCGGGCCTGTCTACATGTCCCCCAGCTCTTGGCCAGCTCTCCCTGTCCAGCCAGCCTGATTCCGGCAAGTCCTGCAGGAGACTTCCTGAGAGCGGGCACCGGGGCGGGGGTCCTCTCCGTCTGAGCAGCTGAGCTGGTGGTACAAGGCCGTGCACCTCCAGGCTTCTCAGCGCCGGCCTGGGGGAGAGGTCACACGGCGGGCGTGCACCTGTCACCGCCGCGGCAGACAGCCACAGATGCCCCCCAGTCTCACAGTGCTCTCGCAGTCCCGCAGGCACCTGGGGTCGGCCACCTGGTGCTTATGGCCCTGCGGTTGTGTCCTTCGCACCCTGGAATTTGCTGCCTCACCGGCCGCCGCTCAGGCCCCAGGGAAAGCGGCCTGCTCTCTGAGGCTGGAGTGAGCGTCAGACTGCTGGGACTCCAGGGCCACTCTGAGTTTAAGGCCCTTATGTTTGTTTTTGTTTTCTTGAGAGGTTTTTGCTATAGGGTATGTGTGCTCGTCAGAGAGACAAAGAGACAAAGCGAGACATCATGCCCCTTCCCCCTGAGGGGATGGCCACACCGCAATCCGTTCTCCATTCTCCTCTCGGGATCGTGGGCGCATACACACAGGTGCTCGGCGTGAGTTTTAAGCCATCGGGTCCGGGACTCAAACCATTGTCAACTACGTGGGAGTCCAGCGACATAGCCATTATACCATCGCTGGTCCCTGTACAAGGCCTGTAATTTTAATTAAACCTGCAAAATCCCTCTTCCCGTGTAATGAGCCATTCAAAGGTTTCGAGTAGTCGCCACTGGGGGCCAATACTGACCGTACTTGGCGCGTTTTGTAAAGTTTTCAGAGGGGTGTGTGTGTCTTCTCTTGTTATAAGACCCAGCATTCTCTGTCCTGTTCTTACTCTGACCCTGTTTTTCAAACTCTAGTCCATCAACCATTGCTGCTTTCCTTATGAGTTTCAGGAGTGGTGACCAGCATTTTCTTAAGGAATATGGTAAGTAGAATTTAATTGCATAGAAAATAGAAGACTATTCCATGTAGCTTTTTTTTTTTTTTTGGTTAGGTTTTTGCTATAGGGCGTGTCTGCTCGCCAGAAAGACAGAGACAGACAGAGAGATAGAAAGCGAGAAATCACCCTCCAGGGGAGATGGCCACGCCACAATCCCTTCTCCTCTCCTCTGGGGATCTTGGGCATGCACACACACGCACCCGGTGTGAGTTTAACCCACCAGGTCTGGGAATCAAACCGTGGTCAACTACATGGGAGTCCAGTGACATAGCCATTAACGCTAACTGCTGGTTCCTCCAAGTAGCTTTTTATATCCCATGAAATTGTTAATATACATGCACGTACACATGCGAACTACGTCAGGATTAAAGTATATTTAGTATATTTGGTTCAGATATTTTTAGAATTTTAAAATTTTATTTATTTTTTTAATTTGCCCAGAGAGAGGCAGAAAGGGAAAGTGAGAAAGCAGGGAAGGTGAGAAGGCAGGCTGCCAGGTCCAGGTCTCAAACCGTGGTCAGCCATGTGGCAGTCCAGTGCCTCTACCACCATGCTACCTGCTGGCCCCGGTTCAGATTCTTTTAATTGGCAGAGGATGTATTTGCTTGCCAGGAGAGAGATGGAGAGCAAGCGCACCCTCCAATGGGGTGGACCCGTCACAATCCCTTCCCCATTCCTCTGTGCCGCCAGGGTTTGGACACGGACACACACACACACACACACACACACACACCACACGCTCAGTGTGTTTTTCAAGCCTCCGGGGTGGGAATTTTAACTGCAGTCAGCCAAGCGGGATCGGGCTCCTTTAACCGCCAGGTCACCAGGCCAGGTTTTACGACCCCCTGCTTCCAGCTACCCTGATTCTGGGACCCCCAGCAGTGTGCCCTGCTTCCATGGCCTATGGGCACCAGGGGTGGTGGAGGCTCTGGCAAGCCCACCTCTGGGCTCACCTGTTTGATCTCGGCCCAGTCTGAGCACGCACTCTGCTTTCCCGGGCTCGGCACTGAGCCTCTGGGTGGGCGCTCCGGGACGGTATTTCTGGTGGAGGGCTGCCCTGCTTGCAGACCTAGTGGCTGCCATGTACCTGTCATGCTGAAAGACCAAGGGCCTGGCCCGGGCATCCCACCGGACTCTCCTCCCCTCGCCTGCCTGCTGGTGCCCACAAATGCGGGGCCCCACACGTCCCTGGGCCCGAGTGATAGGCCTGCCAGGTCCTCCTGCAGCTGCCATGGGCCAGCTTCCCCGTCAGGGTGAGCGGCCTCAAGTCTTAAAGGGAAAAGCAATTTTAGAAGCCCTGGAGCCCACCTGGAGCCTCAGCTGGCTGCTCCCAGCCCTGGCGGCATCTGGAGCCATGGGAGAGCACGCTCCATGGGGCTCAGGCAGGTGTGCGGGTGCCCAGGCGCTGGCCCCCACGGCCCTCCTCACGTGGAGACCAGAGGTAGCCCTGCCCTCTCCTCCCCTTGCAGAGATGTCTAGGAGTCAGCCTGGACGAGGGAGGAAGCCCGTAGATGTGTTTTTCTGGGTGAACGAGGTAACCGGAGAGATCACCTACCCCATGCTGAAGGCGGATGTGCCTGCGTCTTCTGAGCACCTGAATCGGGAGCTGCCCAGACTGCAGGGTGGGACTGCATGGGGGGCTCTGTCCCCCCATGGTGCGCTGGGCCTGGTGGCAGCGCCGACGCAGAGGCTGGCCCCCCCGAAGCCTCCAGCAACAAACACAGGCTCAAGAAGCTCCCTTGCATTGGCACAGACCCCTGGCCAGGAGAGAGCTGGAGCAAGGGGCTCCCTGCCACCGTGTTGGGTGATCCCTGTCACCATGTCACCGCCAGCAGGGACCCTGGGACCGACCCCTCCGCTGCCAGCCTGTGTCTTTCCTCCCAGCCCTCCAACGCCCTGGGACCTCACCTGCAAGCTGAAAAACGTCCTCGCCGGCAGCAACCGCTTTTCCTTTTGACCTGGGGCGAGTGTCAGCACCCCACCCCTCCCACACCCCCACACCCCCGGCTGCCCGCTGCCTGGCGGCTGCCTGGCCCCCACCTTGCTCTGAGGGGCTCCACAGAAGCACAGGGCTCTCCCAGGACATACAGGAATGTGTCAAATGGCTCAACCACTATAAATTTTGACTTGGTTTGGCACAAACCTCTAGAACTTTCTTTAACTCTCGAGCCTTGGTACGTCACTTTTTTTTTAAGAGAGATTTTCTTTTGCTATAAGTTGTGTGTGTGCTTGCTGGAGAGACAGAGACAGAAATCACCCCTGGGGGATGGCCACCTCTAGGATTTGGGGCACACACACATGTATGCCTGGCTTGAGTTTTAAGCTGCTAGATGCAGGATTTGAACAGCGTCCGGCCAAGTGTGAGTGCAGCGACGTAAGCACCTGCCACCTGCTGGTCCCTCGGGACTTGGCTCTGAACTCTGTCTTTCAGCAGCTTGGTTCCTGCACTGGGGCAAGCCGGGATGTTGTTCCTAGCCAGAGCCAGACCTTGGGTCAGGGTGGGAATGAGCCAGGATGACAGGGACCTGCAGGCTCCATGGCCTTGGGGCACACCTGGGCCACCTGGCCTTGGGGCAGTCCCGCCCTCCGCCCTCTGGGTTCTCTCTGGGCTGCAGTAGGGCAGGTGCCTGAGGGTGCTCTGGACAGTGGCAGCCTGGTGCCATCCCTGTCCCTGCATCTCGCCCCCCCCTGCCCCGTGGTGTGGCCCAGCAGGACAGAAGCCACACCCTGCACACCCGCCCTGCTCGGTCAGGCTGGCCGAGGGCTGCAGGAAGCCCTGGGGTGAGGACGGGTCCTGGGGTGGTGGTGAAGTGGCCTGGGCACATGGGACCCGTGTGGAGGAGCAGCCTCGGAGACACCTCGGGTCCCTGGATGCCCAGGCAGCTCCACGCCCCGAAGTGGCTGGATCCAGGTGGTGTCTCAGGGTGGACACCGGAGGGGCGCAGACACGCCCAGCCACAGCCACCCTGGCAGCACCCCTTCCACCCCCAGGTTTGTCCGGGGCACCCGGGTCCCTTCCCTGGGAGCTCAAGCTGCCAGGTGTCCAGGAGGTGGACTTCTGGGGCAGGAGGGGGAGAGTCCCCAGGGAGGAGGCCAGGTGCTCCAGATGCCTCGCCAGCGAGCTCCCACCAAGAAGCAGCACCCTCCCAGCCCACCCCTACGGCAGCCCAGCGGGCTCTTCCCACGCAGGGACTCCCAGTCTCACTGGTTCTTGGCTAGGCCCAAGGCTCCAAGGCCCTTCACGCCAGGTGGGACAGACAGAGGTCAGAGGTCAGAGGAGGTCCATGCCCCTTCCTGAGGAGCTTCCAAGATATTCCAGGAGAAAGCTGAGGGGGATCCGGCTCCCAAGCCTGCCTCGCCTGCTGACCCAGGAGCTCTGTGGGAGGAGCGGGGCTGAGCCACCGTCCCGCCGAGGGCCTCAGGGTGCAGGTTCTGGGACCCAGGCAGGACTCTGGCTCCTTGGCCTCGGTTTCCCCTCCACCCAGCCTTAGCACCTGTGGCCGTGCTCCGAGGGTCCGGCTGAGCCAAGCAGCGAGCGAGAGGGTCCTGAAGCCCGGAGGTCAGACCCAGGCTGGGGCAGCCCTCCAGGGCCTGGCCACCTTTGGGAGAGGGGAGTGCAGGCCCGCCAGCTCCTCAGGGTGGGTGGAGGTGTTAGGGTGGCCTGAGTGGCGGGCTGCGAAAGAATTCAGACCCAGAGTACACGGAGGAGGGGCCAGGTGCAGGGTGATGGACGGGCGGGGGCTCTGGGCTTTACGGGGTCACAGTCAGGCCACCTGGTCCTAGGCAGCATCGGGGTGCTCGCTCTGGTGCCGGGGCCCACCACATGTGCTGGTCGTCAGCTCTGGCGCCCGCTGATGACGGGGTAGCAGCGGTCTTCATGTCCGAGGGCAGGGGCTCAGGGTGAGGTCCAGAAAGGGCCGGCGACTGGAGAAGAGGAAGGGGAGGGAAAGGGAAAAAGGCTGAGGCGTGTCCTTCCAGGAGCTGTGCGCTGTCTCAGGGCCCCCTGCAGGGTGGCCGCCATCAAGTCCTGGGTCACTGCTGGACAGCCACGGCTGCTCCAGGACACCCTCGGCACGGCCACTCCGCCGGCAGACCACCGGGCAGGTCAGGCTGGAAGGTGAGGCAGGCCCACGTGGAGGCTGGACCCCTGGCCCCGGGGGCGGCTGCCGGGGCTGGGCATGCGGGTCTCTCGGGCAGTCTTAGAGTCAGGTCGCGGTCCCAACCTTGCAGAGCACACAGCTTCCCGGTCACCCAGCCCTCCGAGCCCCAGGTGCCTGAGATGCCCCAGAGAGCCAAGCTCAGACCAGCCTGCAGCAGGGACCGGGACCTGTCTACACCAGCCATGGCCCGGGTAACAAATCCCCTGGACAAACCGCTCAGCGCCCTTTGGGGACAGCTGCAAGTCTCTGCCCTATGACCTGGCAGGGCCACGTCTGCTGCTTCCCGGTCACCCAGCCCTCCGAGCCCCAGGTGCCTGAGATGCCCCAGAGAGCCAAGCTCAGACCAGCCTGCAGCAGGGACCGGGACCTGTCTACACCAGCCATGGCCCGGGTAACAAATCCCCTGGACAAACCGCTCAGCGCCCTTTGGGGACAGCTGCAAGTCTCTGCCCTATGACCTGGCAGGGCCACGTCTGCTGACAGCTGGGCACAACCGAGCCTCAGCTCCTCTGTGTGACCTCCACGGGCAGGCGGGGGGGGGGGGGGGGGGGTGGAGGGGACGTGCCC